AAAATGGAGATAGAGATAACCCCAAGTCTTCATATTATCATAGAGGCTGTAGGAAGGGGGTTTGACTGCTTTTTTTATCGTAAACTTAAATCTGAAGACCCTATCATTAAACGTGAGTTTGAAAAAATTACAGAACAAGGAACAGTATTTTATGATTGCTGTGTAATGTCAATTGCATATAGTGATCGTTTAGGTATATATGCTGATGGCTTAATGAATTTAAGACAATATTTTGAAGGTAATAAAAATTACGATTAAAACATTTATGTCATTTGACTTTTCGAATTCTTTAGTTATTCTTATCGAAATTTGACTAAATTTACACATATTTTTTTTTTAGATAAAAATTATGATATCAATAGTATAAAAAAAATTATGAATAGTCTTAAAGACGAATGCGACTTTAATATGAATCAGATCGTAAAGTTAACAAAAAATTTCGAGAGTATAAAAGGTGAAATGATAGGTGTTAAAAATAAATTGCATGTATACAGAGAAAATAATAATATTTCGATTAAAACTAAGGAAGAAAAAATTTTGTATTATCGATTCAGGATTAATGTTGTAAAAGGATTGTTGATAAGTTTGTTTATTGCTATTTTGTCAGCAATTTTATATGCGCCGAATGTAATAACTCCATTATTAATCTTAATATTAGTTGTGTTAATTATTTATAAATTCTACTCTTATAAAATTGAAAAATTAAATAGAGAATTAGAAAATGCAACAATGCTTAGTACCGAAGGTATAGCGAAAATTGAAGAGGTGGAGAATGAATTAAAATATATAATCTTTCAACTTGTGAAATTTAAAGCTTATTGGAATGATCGTAATGTTCGTTTAGAAAATCTTATTCAAAGACTTTCAATTGAAAGTTCTGATGTCTTATTGTTCATAGAAAAATCGATTAGGGAGGGATGGAAAGATGTGAAATCTGAATGCGATGAATATAATAAGGCAATAAGTGGTATGATTAATAGGGTGGATAAAAAATTTATGGATGACAGACAGGTGAATTTAATAATAATTTAATAATAAAGATACTGTAAAACTACCATCTAATAATTTCCATTTGTTTTATTTAGAGCGAACATGTGAAGTCTGAATATGAGAGATACATAAAGAAATAAGCGGCGTGATCAGGTGGTTAATGTGAATAACAGGCAGGTAAATTTAAGAACCTCTTCAAATTAAACCTATCAAATAAATAATTTTTATTTGTTTTACTTAGAACGAGTTTCATATTACATATATTACATGAAATTCTAGAACATTTTATTCATTACAAAATTTTTTTTACTCGTTATAAGAATGTAAATGTAACTTTATTCCATTATTTTTACAATTTATTGATATACTATATATATTAAAACCCGGTGCTTAAAGGGGGGTATAATAAAGGAAAAAATTTTAATAACTTTATCTTCTGTTAATCAATCAATATGTTTATTTTTTGTTATTTTTATTTTTAACATTGAATTTTTTCAATAAAATGAAATTTTCCATTCTATTTTTGATTGTTTCAATTTAATTCTGTGTTATTTATACAGTTTAAAGGACTTTCAAAAAAAAAAAAATAAATAAGCTAAAGTCAATGAAAAAAAAGAAGTATATTACAATATTGAAAATTGTATTGGAGTTATAAGATTCCGCTAACAAAAATAATCAAAATGCTTTGCTTATTTACAGAGCATAGCAATAATTTCTCAAAAGTAGGCTACGTTATTATTACATACGTATCATTTGTATTATATGCTCATGTTACAGCCGATTAAAAATTTTCGATGTAACTATATTGTATTGTTGTCCGTCGCAACGTTTCGGACTTTTAATGTCTTTGCAAGTGATATAAAGGTAACATTTTTGATGCATTTCGACTAAATTTAGTGCCTTTTGATGCATCTCATGATGACCATATCAGAAACGTAATCAGTCAGGGAATATGTCACATATAGTAATATATAAGTTTTTTTTTTCAAAATAAAAATTATAAAAAAACATATAAATTTACTATAAACTCAACATTCTTTTCAACTTACTAATTAACTTATTTTTAAATTTCAGAAGTAAGTATATTGAAAATAGTAGAATAAGCTAACTTAGAATGATATTTTAAAATTTTGTAAAAATTTTAGATTTTATTAATAAATTTTTTTAAAAACGAATTTTGCTAATTTTAAAATTGCAATTATATGTAAAATTTTACGCTGAACAAACTTATTTAGAAATCGAAAATAGATTATATTAGTAAAAAAATAAGTTTACTATATACAAATAATAAATTTATTAGTATTTTTTATATATACCCATCTTTATCTTCTAAGTAACTCGTTCAGAACATTTTACATGTATAAATTTGTCAAAATGCGATTTTTTGAACATTTTACTAAGTAAAAAATTAGATTAACTTTGTATAAATATTTTTTTTTTTTTAAAAAAAAAAAAAAAAAAAAAAAAATTTATACAAAGTTAATTCAATTTTTTACTTAGTAAAATGTTTGAAAAATCACATTTTGACAATTATATTTATGTAAATTTTGTTCTAACAAGTTTACTTAGAAGATAAAGATGGGTATATATAAAAAATACTAATAAATTTATTATTTGTATATAGTAAACTTATTTTTTTACTAATATAATTTATTTTCACTTTCTAAGTTTGTTCAGCATAAAAATTTACATATATAAATTATTACAATTTTTATATAAAATTAACATATTGCAATGTTGTCAAAGATAACATACTTGATAAAGTTTTTCTATACGATCTGTAAATGGACAAATTAATGGATTAAATATACTTCGATATTATCATTATCATTTATAAAAATTTCTCTAGCGCAGGCTAATTCATAAACCTCTGTCATTGTTCCAGAAATATCTACTTCTTTCTTTACACCTAACAAGATTGGACATCGTTTCATTGTATCAAGAATTCCAGGTTTCATTGTATTTAAATTTTCATAGCTGTATGCAATAGTTTCTAAGATATTAGTATATGTATCCTTATTACTAAGCTTTGACCAGAATTCCCTAGACGACTTATGGTATTCTGTTCTTGTTTTTACGCCACAATCTTTTAAAAACTTGTTTGCAATTTCACCAAAATCAACTCATTTAAAAAAATCCAAATAAGTTATTGAATAAAATTTTTGTTAAGTTTAAAAAATATCAAGACCAAAATAAAATTACATATGAAAATATTAGAATATTTGCGTACTTTTTCATAAAATACTTCAAAAAAAACGGTCTTCCGGCTTGTGATAAGTTATTATATATGGTGAAACCTTCTCTTGTATAGGTATGAATTTGATTTTCTGAAGTACTTTCCAATTTGAATCACTTTCATGTGTTGCAAAGTACATGAATTCGAAAATGTCTTTTGTATTGTTTCAATTTCTTTAGCCAAAAAACATAATCTTGGCATAAAGTATTAAATCCCATCTTTGTACAATGAGGATTCGAATAACACTCTGATGGTTCCACATAAATATTATTAATACATGGTAAAAATTTTATCTGAATCAAATTTGATTTGTATTTTTCAGAATATTTTTTCTTGAAATTTTTGATAAAATATTGAAGTGCTTTCTCACGAATACAAGGGGTTGAGATTGTTCTGCAAGTTGAAAAATAGTTTGAATAGATGGATCCAAGTTCAATTATAAATTTAGCTAAAATATATGAATTATGTTTGTTAACAAAATAAATAATTTAAAAATAATGTAGATTAATTGTTTGAATGAATTTTTCCATTCATCTACCTTCATATGAATGTTTGTTCTAATGTCCTTTCCAATTTATTATCGCCAACTCAAGTTCTCTATTATGATGGCACGGGTATACAAATCTCTTGCCAAATATCTCTGAACATTGACATCATTTACAGATTTATTACTATCATTACATTCCTTTATCCAAATTTTGGCCCTTATTAATTTTTCAATATCAATTTCTTTAAGATCTTTAGCAAATTTGGCAAAATATTTCAAAAGCTTCATGTGATTCAAATTATCACTAGTTACTAATCGAGCGAAAACAACTTCCAATTCAACATACTACCGTATATAGATTATGTATTTATAAGTATGTAATGGATGAATTTATTACATTATAACTACGGGTCTGCAAGTGGGCATGCCAGGCATATTGGCACCAGGCCAGGCACTAGTGCCTCATGCCACGCCTAATCACAGTTGAAGATCAGGTGTAACGTAACACTAACGTAACACGATCAGGAAAATTAAAAACAAACGTTCTTTTTGCTAAAAATTGCCTATAACTCAAAAATTTGAATACGAAATCATCTTTAGTGTTCTAATAAAAAGTTTTCCTTGAGTGATTTTACTATATATCTTGATAAATATAAATACTAATATAAATATTAAACCTAATATTAATAAACTTTTTAGAATTTAATTATCGCAAAATTTTTCGGGGTGCCGTTGGGGTAGTTGGCAATTAGATTATATTCTTAACAAAATTAGTACAATACAATAGCTAGAAATGACATTTATCTATTAGTGTAGTAGTCATAAACTATATACATTAAACCAGTGCTCAAAATTGCATTTTGTTATTTGTTTATTTGTTTAAATTTCCTAGATAAATTGTTTGAATTTACTTAACAATTATTTTTAGTTAATTTTATACATATTAACATAGATAGTTAATCAACGATACTCCACGTTACAATTAGTACAGTCAATACTTGGCTGCATAATTTATGATATTCACAAAAGTAAAAATTACCTAGGGTTAAATTTCTTATCAGAATTTGTGACACAGTAGTCCTCCTTTACAGTCACATATATAATCACACCTACTTTATAAGCACCATTTTTTGAAAAATTATTTGTCATATATTTATTAAAAAAAAACTCTATATAATCACATTACTATTAAAATTTTATAATATTTTTTTTATGTTAAACAAACAACATGATTATAGAGGAGGACAATGTATTAAGAGAGTCAAATTTTTTGTTAGTATAATTACTTCAGGATAATTTTTCATTATTGTTTTTTTTTCTTTATTCATTAATTCTATCACTTTCAAATTTCTCCTTGAAAGTTGGCCTCTTCTCTGGCTGAGCATCCCAACGCAAGCAATCAATTTATAATTTTCTCTGGTACATTGTCAGATTACTTTGACGTAAACTACCACGAAGCATAGACAAATCTAGTTATAAAAAGAAAACAATAAAGTGTGAAAGTGACATACGTACGTACGAGCATACCACGTGAAAGATAAAATCTATACTCAAATTCTTATTTTGTCCGACAAATCGTCCAATTAGGGGTAAGATTTTGTGAAGTAACCTTTAAATTTCAATATAACTAACACTTCGTGATATTACGTTTCTGATATGCACATATATAATTAGTCAAAATCCTGTGGACTTACGTACGTACGTTGTGAAGGTACAGGTAAGAACGTTGATGTTATACGACTGATTTTTCACACGGTGTGCAACATATAAAAAAATAAATTTACAATACCAGATCATTCCGCTAGTACATGTTATGATTATAATCCAACACCATTTTTACTAATAAAAATGGTGTTGGATTATAATCATAACATGTACTAGCGGAATGATCTGGTATCGTAAAATTATTTTTTTATATGTTGCACACCGTGTGAAAAATCAGTCGTATAACATTAACGTTCTTACCTGTATTGTGAAGGGTAAAATTGACCCAAATTCTATTTTATCCCTTGTTGCTAATTATGTGTGATTCCCGGTAAATTCTTGATATCCGTAGAATGACGGGAATAAAAATTATTCTTTGAATAATTTTATAGCTGGAATAGTTTAGATTCAAGGAATAATTTAAATAACGAGAATATATTAGATTCCTGGAATTTCATTTATATGTAAAATTAAATATATAAAGAGGAGTTTCTCTCCTTGAATAAAGTCAGTTAACGTTTTACGCATAAACTCATAAAAGTTGTTCTCCTACTTCCATGATAATAAACTTATAATCCCGTGATCCTAATTAGAGCTTCGTGACGTATCTTGAGCTCTATTTGGCCCTAATAATTCGGACCAAGTCTTTCCACGCCTTCTTTCGTGCCTTCCACCATTAGGGTTGGATAGATTTTAGTAGTTTAGTGTGTTGATTTGGATTAGTTTAGTTTTAGTTCTGCCCTCACAACGTACGTACTATTTTGTTACTACAACTTACTCTCGTTATAGTGAAGTTCCCGGGCTGAGAAAAAAATTCTTCACTATAGTTTATATCACTATAGCTTATATCGAGAGAATACTATATGCACTTCACTATATCGAGTTGAAGTTTAATATTTCTGGAATTCAAAAAGTCTTCACTATATCGAATCTTCACTATATCGAATTTTCACTATATCGAATATTCACTATAACGAGAGTGATTTGTATATTTGGAAGTTAACTATAGTAGAATTCGATTCTTTATTGAGGTCAATATCTTTGCTTTTACATTACATTTTATATAAATAAATCTATCATTAGGACGATCAGAAAATATTATTGGGGTTTAACTGTTAAGCTATAAATAAGGTAATATACCATATTATGACTTTAATAATTAACTTCCTATTTCAGTATTTATAGAAAGTAATATAGTTTGAAATTAAAATATCGTTTAACGTTCTCTTCCACCCTCTCTATTTCCAAGAGATTTTCCTTAAAATTAAAGCAAATCCAACGTCCATACGTTTTAATTTTGAAAAACTAATAATTATAGGATTATTTTTTTTCAATGTAATATAAACTTTTTTTTTTTTTACATTAAATCTTTCCCCACAGCGTTTAAGTTCCAAAAAGAAAAGTTAAACAAATTATAACTTCAAACGGTCTTGTAAGATAAATATGATAAAATAATAAGAAAAAAATAATAATTTAATAGTCGCACGGTATAATTGAAATGTCAATATAAAGATATATTAAAAATAAACTTGAACTCAAAGTACGTTTATGTATATTATAAATAAATAGATGCTCAATTTTAACCACCATTAAGAAAAACCATACAAAACAAAGTATTGAGACTATTATATTTTTTGCCAGGTTTACAAGGTGAAATGTCAAAAGATTCAAGAGTAGAATCAAGATTACCAGATTCATTTAAAACTCTGTTCTTAAAACAAATCTTCAGATAAACTTTTTCACGACAAGTATTGTATAAGTTGTATGAGCTTGATTGCCTACTATTACAGATGCCTGCCCTGTCAAAAATGACTTGTTCCAAGCTTTTAATTTTATCTCCTGAAGATGCAGGAACTTCAATTACACGGTTTGGAAGAATGACTTTTATTTTTCCTTCTTCTTGAATAGGTTGTTTAGTAGAAGATACGGTATGAAGTCCGTCATTAAATTCTTTAGTTCTTAGAGGAACTTTATTTTTTATTAAATGAAAGATATCGCCAGAGCTAATGTTTAAATCTCTAATTTTTTTAAAGTTATCCAAGGTTACATATTTATAGAGAATAGTTTGCTCATCAATCTCAATATCATAATTTTCTCGAATATTTTCTTTTACATCAGCAATTTTATCGTCACGACTAACTTGAATAGATCCAGCCCAATTAAAACCTTTAATTACAATTCCTATATTGTCATTATTATTACTTTCGTCACTGGGGGAGGGAAAATGGTCATATATGTCATCACCATTTTCACTATCTCTTAAGAGTTGGTTTATAAATTTTAAATGTTTTGGATTATTTGTTTTAGAATTAACTAAATACCAGAATAATAGTCGTTTCCAGAAGTTCTTAAATTCCTTTGTATTCAAGGAAGGATGTGTCAAGTTGATTGTCATGTTTGATGTTAATAATTAAAATTTTTAAGAAATTTTAGAGAGCTTATTTATACTTATTCATAGATTGTTGTATAAAGCAAACTTTATAATAATTACATGACATATAAAGAATTCCATATTTTCAATGAAGATAGTATGAATTACTATAAAAAGTTCGCGTTTATAGAAAAATAATGAGATGACACAGCTGATCAATTTGTGCAAATGATAAGTAAGTGTAAATTACAGCCTAATGAATATTAATTAAGCATTTTATTTACAAAAATTGATAAGACGAAATTTGAAAGGGCTGATTGATTAAATGAGATGCCTTTTTTTATTCCTTATTCGACGTGTCATTTAAAATATATATGATATGAACTTTAAAATTAAGCCTAATAAACATTGATTGAAAATTTAAGCCACAAAAAAGACTGATAAGATGAAGTTAAAAAAAATTGATTGATAAAATGAAACATCTCTTTTTATTCCTTATTTAACGTGTCATTCAAAATCTTACAAATTTGAAATTATAACCTAATTAGCTTTAATTAAAAAGTTTATTATATAAATTAATTGATAACGAAGTCTAAAAGAATTGATTGATAAAACGAGGAATTTTTATTTATCCTTATTTGATGTGTCATTTAAAATCTATGCGAGTTTGAATAACTATGCAGGCTTGAATATTATAGGCTAATAAACATTAATTAAAAATTTAAAATTTACAGAAAATGGCTGATAAGACGAAGTCTAAAAGAATTGATTGATAAAATGAGGCATCTTTCTTATTTCTTATATCCTAATAAGCATTAATTAAAATTTTTAGTTACAAAAAATTGTCTGATGAGATGAAATCTTAAAGAAGTGATTGATAAAATGAGATATCTTTTTTATTTTATTTTTATTCTTCATTTGACGCGTCATTCAAAATCTATATGAATTTTTAAGATTATATTAAAAATTTTTAATCTACAAAAATTGACTGGCAAGATGAAGTTTAAAAGAATTGATTGATAAAATAAGAGTCGTTTTTTTTGTACAAATTTTTGTCGACTAAATATTGTCGCGGATGATCATGAAATCCGATAATGCTGAATTAATGCATCTGATGGTTACTGCTAGGGTGATTGGCCTATAGGAGCATTGGCCTACAGGAGCTTTAGATTTCATGATTATCCACTACAAATATTTGAATAATTGATATTATCGTTATAAATCCATAAAAATAAAGAGTAAAAATTTAGTTCTGTAGTTGTCACGTTAATTCAATATGAATCCATATTAACTCCTAAATAAATCTTAATGTTTGTTTTTATAAATTAAAGTGTCACAACAAATGTTTATCAAAATAAATAAGGGTACTGTAAACTATAAATATAAAAAAAATCAAATTTCCTAATTAAGATATGATAAATGAATTCAGATTTGAATATTGCCAAGAAAAAAAATATTTCATTTCGTCGTACAACTAGATAATTGTACGTACGTACAAATTTCCATATAATAACAGATAATAATATTATTGTCTAAAGTTCGAATGTGCTGATCCAATTAAATTTCTTGATTTCAGAAATCAGGCAATTTGAATCCTCACATTCGAATTTTAGGCAATGATCATCTATGATTGTGTGTGACAATAAAAGAAACTCTAGAAAGTTTCTCATAAAAAAATCTAAACATGTGTGAAGGAAAAAGAAAAAAATATATAACTTTGAAGAATCGAAAACAAGAATCTGTTAATTTCCCGTGATTTTACATGGCATCATGGCTGCAGAGGTCACACCTTTTTGTAAACTGCAATAAACCAACTTGTAAACACAGAATTAAAATAATTAGGAATGAAATTTTATATGTAGTAATTGATACTTAATCTTACACACTTCAAATTGCTATTTATATGACTTTATTTATTTTTATATTAAACTTCCTTCTTAGGAGATGCGTTGAATTATTTATAAATTAATGGGTAAATTTAAAATAAGATGACTAATATAACACATTACAAAATTACGAAACCTAACAAAGTTCTTTTTAAAATCTTGTGCTTTTCTAAATACATATAAGTAAATTCCTTATTTTCAGAATTTCATTGTCAATATGTTTTTATAGTATTTTACTCTTTGTTATTCAATGAATCTCTCAGTTCTTAAGTCATATATTCTCTTTGTGTCTGATATATGTATAACCAAAAAAGTTAACCTATATTAATATGTTCTTCCGAAGTTACACACATCATTCATTGACAAATTCTTTTATTAATAATCACATTTTATAAATATTAAAATTAAAATCGGTATCAAAACTTTTGCAAAGATTTATTATTAAACAAAAAACATCAAATTATTATTAGTTTTGCAAGATGTCGTTTTTTGAAAAAAGATGTGAATTTTGTCGTATGATGAAAAAAACCGATGAATTTTTAAAATTAACTAATGAATGTGTGCATAACAATACAGTGTGTCTCGACTGTGCTAATGCCAAATTATTACAATTGGATTATTGTGCAGATTTCATTTGTTTTATATCTGGCTGTGGAAAGAAAATGACTCTTGCTAATATTTTGGAAATTACCAAAACGAAATCTTTCTCTGATCCCACAAGGTCTATAAAAATAATAAATAAGACTTTTAATTATTTCTTTATTAATATTAATTTTTAAATTTATTTTAGATATGATAAACTCTATTTCAATCGTGCAGCAGCTGAAACCGAAGGCTTTCAATGGTGCAGAAATGGTACTTTATTTGCAAATTTTTTAGCAAAATTACGAATTTATTATTAATAATATAAAAAATTTAATTTATAGTAAACTGTCGCTCTGGTCAAAAACATGTTGATGATAATGGCAAAGCTGCTGATATTAGTAAGTATCCTTAATTTATTAAATACAGTATATTTATATGCTATTCCTTTCTTTGAAATGTTTAATGAGTTATTGAATAAATATGTTATTAATACAGATATATACCCACAAATGGAATGTACAAGCTGCAAAAGAATGACTTGTTGCAAACATAAGATTCCATGGCATTATGGACAAAAGTGCGATCAATATGATAAAAATAGATATTGTTCTGGATGTGGTTTTCCTTTCCAACCAACTAATGATGGCAATACTTGTAATATTGTTAACTGTCCTTTTAATGGATGTAATCAAATTATTTGTAGAGTAAGTATTTATTTTATAAATAAATAATATTTATAGATTTTTTTGAGTCTATTATAATATTTTAATTTCTTAGAAATGCGGAGAAAAATATATATACGGAATAAATGGGTGTAAATGTTTATGAGTAAAAATTTAAAGGTAATATTGGTTATTTATAAATATAAAACCTTTAATTTTAATCTTGTAAAGGTTTTAAACATAATTCAAATTTTTATTATTTTTGTCAAGATTTATTCTAATTTAAATCATGTATTATTAATATCTTATATATTTTTATTTCAATAAATTTACAAAGTTCATATCAGTTATATGATTTTTCTGCTGTAGGAATAGTGATAAAAATTTAATCAAGAGTTATAATAACTGATGATAATTGTTTGTAAGTCAAACTAATTCTTATCTGTTATAGGGAATGAATTATAAATGCTTAAGTTCATACACTGAAATTTATAGGCTCTTATTTTCACTTCTTAAAGTTTAGCTAATACGTATTTCAGACATGGTTATGATTCTTAACAAAATTTTGTCTGCTTTCCTTTATTATATATAGTCTCGCAGTACATTTTCCATATCTGATATGGTATAATTAATTTTTATATGTTTGATTAGCACTTGTAATCAGTTATGTTGTAGATGGATAATTGATTATCTCTGTAAAAAAGTTTTTTAATATTTCCGTTAAATCTTCTCATTTACTACAAAAATCTTTAACATGATTTGGTAGACAAATAAGTATACATTATTTGAAGGCATAAATTCCATTAATATGCAATATTTATGAACAAAACGTAGAATAGAAAAACGCGGATTAACTTTTTTAGTGTATCAAAAAACTATCTCGGGTGTGATGTGAAAAATGAAAAATATTTTTAAAAATCAATATTTGAATATGCAACCAATTTTATGTTAGAATTAAAAAAAAAAGATTTCTTACAAAATTTTTGGATATATCCGCATCTTTCTAATCTTAAACACGATTATAAAGTGAAGTATAATTAAATAATTGTTTTTTCGAAATCAGATTGGCCGCTTCGCAGAGTTTTTGAATAAAATCCAAGTTTTGATCTATGTGATAAATGAACAAAACCGAATTTTGAATAAAATTTATGTGTGCAGTTAGCTAAAATGCATGTTAATAATCAAATTTGCCGGTTGTAATTTATTGTATTCCTTAAAAATAAACACTCACCCAAAACAAGCCTCCTTTGCTTGCACTATTCAAAATTTACCTTACTAGGAACCGGAAGTCCGGATCAAAAAATTCTATATACGTATATGTAGCTGTTTTTAAAAGGATTTGAAACCTACAATTTCACCGTATTTGACATTCTTCACACGTTTTACATATTCTAAAGAATTAGAGTAATAAAATTCCGATACTGTATTGATAATCAGATTTAGAGTTGACATCAGAAACTTTTCTCAATTGTTTCAGAAATAATAAAAATATAGTAATTGTTATGTGACATATTCGATTTAAAATTACTTTTTATTGTTAAATCTTGTTTTATCATATTATCGATATGTATATCGTGTTTTTAGTTAATAATTGCATGCCTGAAATTAGTTACTGAAATTAAATCATCTGCACGCGTTAGCGGGTAATTTGACAAGTGTATATTTCCATAATACAAAATAATATATGACATATGGGTCTTTCCCTTGAAAATCACATTATGCGACATATGCTACATAACGTGATTTTAAAGGCAAAAACTCAATATCATTTATTTTATTAGTTATTTTTAATATGAAGTACGATAATGCAAAAAATAATAATAGTACATGAAAACTGGTTTGATTACAAGCTCAAAAACAAATATGTTGGATTATCGAATGTTTCTAAAAGGTTAATACTCAATTTGATAAAAAAACTGGCATGTGGAGTGCCATGTGAAGCAACATATAATTAATATCTTATTTAGATACTACTGTACTATACGTGAGTAACGCGGCCCAAAAAGGAAATAAAATTTGTAAACAAACTAAGTGCGTAAAAATAGAAGTTTAGGGCATTATTATATTTAAAACTTCGTCCCCCGCATTTTTAATTAGTACACTTAGATCGATTTAACCATTAATTTTCGAGTATTTTTACTTTCTTTTCTCTTCTTTCTTCTTTTCCACGTGCCCGGATTCCATGATGGGTTGATTTGGAGTAGTCAAAATCCGGGCTATCTGGTGGTCATTTTCTTTTTGTATTACTCGCTAAAAAAAAAAAAAGATCGTGCCGTACGTACATACATAGGGAATTTTATGCCGAAAATGCAAACAGGAAGGTGAGCATGATGAAATAGAGATGGATGCCTAATAAGCAATAGATAAAATAAATTGGTAAACATTTTTCCTTAAATAGTTAAGCATTATTATTGTGTTGTATTGTTCAGAATTCATTGTTAACTTCATTTGGTTTTTGAAGGCATAGAAATTTGCAGTGATGTAGTAGTACTAGTGAGTGTAAGATCTATAGTTGTTAGACGAAACCTTGAGGTTTCGCGCTGACGAAAGTCGAAACCTAGTTTCGACTTTCGTCAACTAAAAT